GGGGGAAGGGGGGGGTGACAGGATATGGGGCTGCATAGCGGCGGGCTAGCTTACGAAGCAGAATGGCAAGGAGGGGGCTTAGCATCCGCTTCCGGGAGGTGGCAGGGGGTGCAGCGGGAGGCTGGCCTGGGGAGGAATAATGGTGCATCGGTTGCTAAAATGTCCCCCCATGCTGTATTTCAGGGCTTTGTTTACCTACGAAGGCAACAGTAATGACCTGCGCGTCGCTGGCACTGGCGGTGAGTGTCTTCAGAGAAGGCCATCCCGGCACGCGGGGCAGCTGTGTCTGTCGGGGGTCCGGATGGGTGCTTGTTGCTGAGTGTGTGCATACAAGGTGGCATTGTTTAGCGTGGCAGGGTCGTGATGCCTGTTCACGTGCATTACCCAGTGCTGGTTGTTGATTTGGAATAGCTCCGGGAGGGAGGTTCTGCCCCAACTTTACCCCAGCTGCTTACCAAAGGGCATCTCTTTCTGGGCCTGCAGTCTCAGCCCATTGCTGCTTGCTTGGTCTCGTGGAAGATGTGAAGAGCCCTGAATTAGACCCCAGGACACGCACTATGGGACGTAAAGTGGAAATGCACCTTCAGTTTTTCAGTGGTCCAATAACAGTGCCAGGGGGATGCTTTTCTAGTGCAGGATAAAAGCAGAAAGTGTGGCAATTGGGCGGGGACTGTGCTGTCACTGATAACATGAAGCCAAGTTTTGATGGCTCTTAAAACAGCCTTGTCTCGTTTTCTTTTCCTTCCCCTTTTGTGGGTTTTTCTGTTTTGTTTTGTTTTTTAAAGAAACTTGAGAGAGACCATTCCTCTTTTTAACTCATCACAGTTCAGTTCACTGCTGTTGTATTTTAAATATAACAGGACTAGGGTTAGTACAACAGACAGGTAGCACAGGATGACTTGTGACGATCGGTCTGATTTACCGATCATATAGAGTATTTTCTGTTGCTGGTTTTCCCCATTACATGTGACCCTTTATATCTGGCTTGTTTTCACACAAAAATATACTAATTTACAGCTGCACCAAGGTGCTTAACAGCCGTCCCACCAACGCATCTTAAAAGCAAGGAAATAAGTGTTTGCATCATCTTGTCAATGCTTGATTCATCAGTTTCCTTTCCCAGCCTCATACTTTCCTTTCACGTCCCCCATATCACCACGTGCAGCAGCTAACCCACACTCATAAGCAGCCAACATGGCTGGCATTCAGACTACCAGAGTCAATGTGACCTTAAGAAATTGATCATAGATCTGTGTGTGGGTTCGAATTGGATGCAAAATGGTGTTGCGCTGTACAAGGTGACTGAATGATAGTTTTTTGGTCTTGTTCAAGAAACCTAGGAAGAGGTGATGCCAGAAACAGCTGCAGGGTTCCAGGCGTGATAGTTTTATGTAGAAATTTGCAGAACTAAAATCTGCCTTGATGTAGTGTGTCTGGTTAGAGGGAAGGCTATATGCGGCTGCTGAGGAGGCGAGTAGAGATACAAGGGCCGTGGGTGGTCGAAGAGTAGCATTTGAAGTTGACAGTGAGTGGAGCACAGATAGCATGTTGAATGACAGAGTTGCTTATTTTCCTTGCTTTTTAAAGTTCATGTAGCTAGGAACCTTGGCTCTAGATTAAAGAGTGTTTTTGTTTCAGCAATTTGACAGGTATGTAATAAACGTGTAGATGGCTGTGGGTAGTTACTCACACGGATCACTATCAACATATCCTCTGCGCACTGGGGCCTGAATGTCTCCTATGCCCTCCACACATCTGTGATCCTCTTCTGTTTTCTCACACGCACATACCCCCTGCAGCTCTGCTCCCTCCCATAAAATGGCCAGATTTTAAACATTGACACGGTCCATGCATTCCCGCCCTGAGGCCATAGGACACTGTAGTGGGAGTCCAGTCGAACAAGCCTCTTCCTGTCGACCAAACTAAGCCTCCCCTCTGGAGAACAGCAGGTTTGTCTGAGGCAGAAACTGCTTAACTGTCGACTCCGTGAACTCTCGCTCCCTTTGTCCCGGCCTTGACAGGGACAGCAAGAGGGGCAGGCAGAGGGGGTTCCATGGCGCTGGTGGGGCCTCAGTAGAGGAGCTACAAGGTCTTCACTCAGCTTCTCCCTCCCACGGCTGAGCGGTCTGCCCGGGAGCCTCCTCCAGAGATTTAACTGCTTGGGGCGGGGAAGGAGCCAAGGAAGTTGGGAGCAGACTGAGTTTCCAGCGTGCTCCTGGACCCCACTTTTCCCAGTGTGATTTTCATGTGTCCTAATTTTAGGCGTCTCCCCCGTCCCATTACATTCCTGTCCAGATAGAAGGATAATTGTCTTCATTTCCATGCGGGAAAACGTTCCCGCCCTGAGGCCATAGGACACTGTAGTGGGAGTCCAGTCGAACAAGCCTCTTCCTGTCGACCAAACTAAGCCTCCCCTCTGGAGAACAGCAGGTTTGTCTGAGGCAGAAACTGCTTAACTGTCGACTCCGTGAACTCTCGCTCCCTTTGTCCCGGCCTTGACAGGGACAGCAAGAGGGGCAGGCAGAGGGGGTTCCATGGCGCTGGTGGGGCCTCAGTAGAGGAGCTACAAGGTCTTCACTCAGCTTCTCCCTCCCACGGCTGAGCGGTCTGCCCGGGAGCCTCCTCCAGAGATTTAACTGCTTGGGGCGGGGAAGGAGCCAAGGAAGTTGGGAGCAGACTGAGTTTCCAGCGTGCTCCTGGACCCCACTTTTCCCAGTGTGATTTTCATGTGTCCTAATTTTAGGCGTCTCCCCCGTCCCATTACATTCCTGTCCCGTGTAAAGGATAATTGTCTTCATTTCCATGCGGGAAAACGTGTGTAAGGAGAAGGACATCCCAACGTTCTGTTTGGAATGGGGCCCAGGGAGCAGGGCCTCCGGACCGAAGACTCCGGCGGGTCACTTCTCAGGCCAGCTCTCCATCCCTGCCCCACGGCCAGCCTTCATGCTTGGCTCCTCGCATGTCTCGGCCGCTAGCTGCCTTTTGAGCCCAGGCAACCCCCTCATTGTCATTGTCATTGGTCCCAGGGTGCTTCCTGTAGCACAGTGTTACCAACAGGGCTGAGGTTGTGGGAAAAGAGGAAGGCTGAGGTCAGGCGCAAGACTGGAGCTCTCCTCCAGAGGCAGCTTGGCCCCCGTTGCTTTGAAAACGAACCAGACAAAACTGAGTGGCTCTTTGGCCTTTCTTGGCCACCAGAACTTGAGGTGGGTGCAACCCGGGCTGGATTATCCAATAAGAAGACTAAGCACGTGCTTAGGGCACCAGCCAAGCAGGGGCACCAAAAAAAAAGAGATTTTTTTTTTGGAAAAAATTTGATATTTCAAAAAAAGCATCAAAGTTGTCATCGTGGGAAAAGTCAGAACTCCACAGAACGCCCTTTTTCTCAGCTGAAAAGAATATAAAAGTATGAAAAGTAGAATGTAAGTTAGGGTGGGCAGTCTTAGGGGGCCACTCCAAGATTTGGTAAGTGGACAAGGGCCATGTTTTTCTATGGGGGGTGTGGGGTCTAGGATGGAGGTTGGGTGCAGAAGGGAAACTAAACGGGATCTTGCATCCCACCTCTGAAGAGGCCCTGCCTCTCCTGTATGATCCATACACCTGCCTGGGCTTGTGGGTTTAGATCAGCCATCTCCAACCTTTTTAACCACAGGATCCCATTAAGTACAATGTAAGATCTACCTCAAACCCAAATCCCCTTGTCCCACTTCCTTCCCGCCCCTTCTCTGAGGCCTCCCTCCCCCTTCCTCTCCCATCCTCACTCACTTTCACCAGGCTGGGGTAGGGGGCTGGGGTGCAGGCTCTGGTCTTGGGCCAAGGGGTTAGGTGTGTGGGAGGGGTCTGGCCTTAGCCCAGGGTGGAGGATTGGGGTCCAGGAGGGATTTCAGGGTGCCAGCTCTGGGAAGTTTAGGTGCAGGGGGACTCCCGTGTGGGGCAGGAGGAGGTTCAGGAAGCAGGCTCTGGCTGGGCACCGTTTAACGGTGACGGCGTCCAGGTGGTGGAGCAGCAGGGTGAAGGCAGGACTGGCCCTGCACCGTTCCTCAAAGCGTATGAAAAGTAGAATGTAAGTTAGGGTGGGCAGTCTTAGGGGGCCACTCCAAGATTTGGTAAGTGGACAAGGGCCATGTTTTTCTATGGGGGGTGTGGGGTCTAGGATGGAGGTTGGGTGCAGAAGGGAGCTCGGGATAGGGCCCAGGGGTGTGGGGGTCTGAGAGGGAGTTGAGTGAAGGAGGGGGTTGTGACCTCAGTGAAAACGAGGTTTGAAAAGTGTGTGCTGCGCAAACGTGGCTGTTTCTCACTCGTATCTCTGCTGATGTAATGAAAAGGGAAGTTGAAGAGCAGCGGCAGGAGATTGGGATGCTGGGTCCTGGAGGGGATATGGATGTAGGAGAGGTTTCTGGCTTGGGGAGAGTTATACAAGGGGGGTGCAGTGTCTGGGAGGGAGTTGGGGTGCACAAGGGGGTGGGGTGTCAGAGGCAGGCTCTGGCCAGGAGGAGCTTACCTAAGCAGCTCCCAGCCAGCAGCTCAGCAGGACCCTAAAGCAGGCTCCCTGCCTGCCAGCAACCCCAGGCTGATCCGTGTGGTTCTCTGTCCTGTTCCCCCGCCCCCAGCACAATCTGTCAGCTCTCATTGGCCATTTACATAAAGCATATTCAAGGTATGCATATTCAAAACATATTTCCATTAAAAAGACGGGGTGTCGCGTCACAGGGAATTTCTAAACTTTACTTCTACGAAAGCTGGTGAATATTTTTCTGAGAACATCACATGGAAGATTCATTTGTCATCTGAAATGACTAGGCCGAATTTAGAGACTGAGTAGAACTACTTAATTGTGAGGAAAATCGGGATCAGTCCTGCTTTGAGTGGCAATCTAAATGCAGCCTTCACTCCGGAATTGCTACCAATGCCTGGTGAATGCTGTGTGCTATGAAAGTGCTTGGGCAATGCTTCAGGAAGGCTCTCTGATGGTGAAATTTTTCTGACATGTGAACACTTGATTAACACCCCGGTGTAAAGGTTGTACTCGTGGTAGCTTTTAGCAGTGCATTACAGCAGGAGTGGCATGATGGTTAATGGTGCAATGTCGCACATTTTATTGCAGTCTCTTTTCACACTCCTGTTGCTTTCAGCTTCCAGGCTGAGAGAGTCAAGGCTTGGCCACTAAGCTAGAGGTGAATTTTCTTTTTCCTTTTAAAGTTTGAGAATCAGCTCTGGGCGAGAGGGGGCTACGCTCTCCCTCAATGGGAAGGCTGGATGAGATTTTTCAGGTGCCTCCCGGGGGCGGGGAAACCGAAGCTGAAATATTGCATGGAAGGCCTTTGTGTAGCCTGTGAAAACGAGGTTTGAAAAGTGTGTGCTGCGCAAACGTGGCTGTTTCTCACTCGTATCTCTGCTGATGTAATGAAAAGGGAAGTTGAAGAGCAGTAAGTCTGCCCGACAGGTGGTCCACATAAGCCGGTGAGCAGGGAACAAGGGAGAGTCCCTGTGCATAGGAGGGTGCCCTGCTCTGTTGCAGCTCAGGCATTTTGCTGGCCTTTGTCATCTGAAATGACTAGGCCGAATTTAGAGACTGAGTAGAACTACTTAATTGTGAGGAAAATCGGGATCAGTCCTGCTTTGAGTGGCAATCTAAATGCAGCCTTCACTCCGGAATTGCTACCAATGCCTGGTGAATGCTGTGTGCTATGAAAGTGCTTGGGCAATGCTTCAGGAAGGCTCTCTGATGGTGAAATTTTTCTGACATGTGAACACTTGATTAACACCCCGGTGTAAAGGTTGTACTCGTGGTAGCTTTTAGCAGTGCATTACAGCAGGAGTGGCATGATGGTTAATGGTGCAATGTCGCACATTTTATTGCAGTCTCTTTTCACACTCCTGTTGCTTTCAGCTTCCAGGCTGAGAGAGTCAAGGCTTGGCCACTAAGCTAGAGGTGAATTTTCTTTTTCCTTTTAAAGTTTGAGAATCAGCTCTGGGCGAGAGGGGGCTACGCTCTCCCTCAATGGGAAGGCTGGATGAGATTTTTCAGGTGCCTCCCGGGGGCGGGGAAACCGAAGCTGAAATATGGCAGGGAAGGCCTTTGTGTAGCCTGTGAAAACGAGGTTTGAAAAGTGTGTGCTGCGCAAACGTGGCTGTTTCTCACTCGTATCTCTGCTGATGTAATGAAAAGGGAAGTTGAAGAGCAGCCTGGCTGGGCACGTGCAG